AGGAAATCCAATCCTCGGGACGTGAAGAAATCCTTTAAGACAAAAGTCTTGTTCGCTAGTGATCTAGCATTTAACCGGCCGATCCTGGCAGGAACCGGTGGGGCCGAGCCGTTGGCTGTCTGGGGAGCTCGACACAGAGGCCGCAAGTTGCGGTGATTAACCCTGCGCCAGCAGGGATGAGGAGAGCAGGGGGTGATGTTGGAGTCCGGTATCTGCTCGATGATTGCAGGGATGTAGAGTTTAAACCTCCTCTTCATCATCCTCTGTTTAACTCCCACTCTGCAGCCTCACCGTCTCCTCCTCAGCTCCTCCGGTATGGAGGGTCTCTCTCCAGTCAGGATGCTAGGGTGCCTCAGGGCGATCATCTGGTCGCGGGTTTAAACAATGCAACTCCCTGTCGTCATGGAGACCAGCGTAAACAAACAAAAAATAAAAAGTGCTCAAAAATGCTGAAAAAGTATTTAGGCGACGTGAACAAAGTAGTAAGAAAGCAAGAAAACAGTTAAAAATAGAAAGAAAACACAGGCTAAAAACACACTAAAACTACAACAATGATAGGAGGAAAAGCCCCATAGATATATTTGTCTAAAAATGGACAGATTGAATGGTCTTCATTCCCAGTGAAAGAGCCCCCCCGTTCAGCTGCTAACATCATATGGATGGTACCAGGGCCCACACGATTTGCAGTGACTCATGATCAGGATATCAAGTCATCCTTTAAGCTGCTGATTCCTGACTTAATTCAGAAAATTATTCTGGATATGACTAATCTTGAGGGGAGACGTGTTTTCGGTGACCAGTAGAAAGAGATGGACATCATGGGCATCTGCATGCCTACTTTGGCTTCTTTATCATTGCTGGTGTCTACAGGTTGGAAAAATCTGGAAAAATAGGCTGGAGCTCCCACCCGAGGTTCTAACTGTGAAAATAAAGGCCAGTCCATTCCTCCAACTTTATGTTTACGGTCAACACTGCCCTGGTATCTTGCATACCAAAAAAAGGAAAGAATGTGTCGCTCATGAGCACTCTACACAGGAATGGAACAATAAGTAGCCGGGAGGCCCGTAAGCCAGAGGTCATACTTGACTACAGTGCCACCCAACGAGGGGTAGACAACCTTGACAAGCTGCTGGCCTGCCACAGCTGTCAAAGAAGAACGCTACGGTGGCCACTCGTGATCTTTTACAACATGCTGGATGTCTCAGGCTATAATGCATTTACAATCTGGATACCAATCAACCCAGACTGGAACCAAAGGAAGCTTCAAAGAAGACGACTTTTCCTTGAGGAGCTAGGCAAAGCACTGGTGACACCGCACATTCAAAGGAGACAACATGTCTTGGGACCCCAGCTTCTCTAGCCACAGTGAGGAGTATGGCAGAGGCTCTAGCAAGTTTCTGAAGTAAGTGTCCTCTTGCAGTTGTGTGTGTGTGTGTGATTTTACTACTTGTCTTTTCATCATTCTAGGTTGCAGCCGGTGGCAAGAGAAAGCGCTGCAAGGTGTGTGGACCATCAAAGGACACAAAGACAAAAACCACATGCAGAAACTGCATCACTTCAGTACTGCAAGTACATCTGTGGTACACATATTGTCTGTGTCTCTCTCTCTCTCTCACACCCCAACTGGTCAAGGCAGATGACCACCCTAGAGCCGAAGGATCTGTCCTAGGTTTCTGCCTAGTTAAAAGGCACTTTTTCCTTGCCCCCGTCGCCAAGTGCTTGCTCATGGTGGTACTGTTGGGTCTCTGTAAATGTTTAACGAGTTCGGTCTAGACCTGTGGCAGAATGTAAACAGCAAGTAACTCCCTCGGTAGATAAAAGGGTCCGCACCGTCTCCACGGTGGATGGAGTGTGTGGAGCAGGAGATCCGAGTTTGGTGCGCTGTCCGAAAGCCAGGTCTCAGTGAAAATAAGAGCACAACATTCTCTTATCTCATGCTGAGTTGTAGTCTTAGTTCTCAGCTCGTCCATCTTACTTTCAAGAGAGCGGAAATTAGCCAGCAGCAGGGTAGGTAGCAGTGGTTGTGTAGCCCTAGCCTTTAGCCTATCATGTAGACTAGGGATGCACCGATCCACATTTTTTCACTTCCGATCCGATCCCGATACCTGAATTTGGATATCGGCTGATACCGATACTATTCCGATACCAGAGCTCTGTTTGCTTTAATATTATTATTATCATTATTGTTGATTTTATATGAGGCTGAAATAAACTCCTCTCAACAGGCAAGTATGATATGTACGTATGTATGCATGTGTGTCCCAAAAGGCAACTTGAGGTGAGTATAAGGTCAGAAAAGGAAGTCATAAAAACAGGAAATCCTGTTAACAGGAAGAATCCCATTCTGAAAACAAATATGCAACTGTAAGGGTTTCAAATTGATTGTCATATCAATATTTATTAAATTCCCAAAATGTCAAATATTTGAGTCTTGAAATATAAGAAAAGTGCAATAAGTGTAAACATCTTACACACACTATCAATAAAACAGTGTGCATCTGAACAGCACAAATCAAGTACACTGGCTCTTGTAGCATCAACAAATCAAGGTTTTAAAATGTCAATTATCTGAAATATAAGAAAAGTGCAATAACTGTAAACATCTAACACACACTCACTCGCTCGCACGCACGCGCACACACACACACACACACACATCCACTAATCCCTTTAGCTTTCACGTTGTCTGCCTGGAGTTTACCTTGTTTTTGGAATGACTCCAGAAGTGATTCCTGACAGCTCACCTAAAAAATCCTCGTGCTGTTTCGTGTGATGCTTTTTTAAATGTTTGATTGCGTTCGTAGTGTTGTACGACGCAAGGGCGCTTCTCTGAATTACGGCTTTGCAAACATTGCATTTTGCTGTCTTGCTCTGTTTCCAGTGTAAAGTATTTCCACACAGCGGACATGTTGGCTAGCCACAATGCTGCTCAATGCTATCCTGCTAGCTGGCTGCAAACTGAGGAATGGATTTCCTGAGCGGGGGCGTGTCTCATAACTCTGTGTCTCATTGAGCCGCGCCTCCGTTCAGGAAATCCATTCCACAGTTTGCAGCCAGCTAGCAGACTGGCCGGCAGGAATCACCTGTGGAGTCATTTCAGGAGACAACGTTAAAGCGCAGACATGGCTCATGGATATCGGAAATCTGCGCAGGTTGGATCGGGAAATTCCAATATGTGAATTACGTTAACATTAATAATGGTTTGTTACACAAAACCTTCTGAAAATGTGTCCTTGACAACTGTTAAGAAAAGGGCAAACACTTTCAAAAATACTGAAGGTGATTGACATTAGCCCAAAATAGTGATAGATGGGTCATCCAACCAATCAGAACAACAAACCATGAAGCCAATCAGAAGGAGACCAAAAAGATCTTTTCCATCGAGAAAAGCCTTTGGTTCCGTCCTTTGCTCTTGTTAACACTCTTCACTTCTGATGTAACTGATAAGCCTCACAAGATAAAAAATATTCAACTTTAACTGAATCCATTTGTTGTGGACTGCTGTAAGGTTTCCACCGTGACCCAGTACCATTAGATTACATCTTACATTTCACATTTCTCAGTTGGGTCTCTTCCAGCTCTCTCAGCCCTCCTTCTGATCCATTTTCAGGTTCCAGGTTACCACTCTCTACACACCAGTTTTCTCCAGATTGTTCAGTTTAGTCAAAACTCTAGTCTAGCTCAGAATTACCTGAATCCTTTCTAAACTTGTGTTTACCTGTGCCTCAGGTTCTGTTGATCACTATTGTAGGTGCTATGATAAATCACAGCGGTACCATTTGTTGGTGTCAACAGTGGTTGAATTTTGATGTTTCGCCATGAAGCAGGAAATTGTCATAACTTCAGTGTACTTTGTGTTATTTGAAAAGTGTCCTGAGATAACTTCTGTTATGAATTGGCGCTATACAAATAAAATTGAATTGAATTGAATTGAATACACGCATACAACATACACACACAAACCACAAATACACACCCACACACACTCTCTCACACACACACACACACACACACACACACCCGAAGGACAACAGGTGTCATTATTTGTCACCATTGAAAAGAAAATAAATGCTTTCAAAACGGTGTCCTGACTAAACTTTGACATATACCAGACTGTGATAATCAATCAACATATATTCCTATTATATTAACTATAATCAAAATTATTCAGATTTTTAGCTTTTTTTAAAACAAAAAAATACAATATAATTTCGCATAAATTAGGTATACTGACCCTAAATTATAGAAATTTGGGTCAAGCTTGGTGTTAATGAGTTGGTATTGAGTTGACTAATAAGGTGAAACACAGTATTGGATCATAATGCATACCCTATGTTTTTGAAACAAGTCAAACCAGACTGGGGTCAAATTCATGATGGAGGAACACAACCTGCATAGTCAATGGGAAGGTATTATGAAGGTTAAAGGGGTACTAGTCTAATTTAGTATTAGAGTGCTGTAAAGTTGGAGGACTCACAAGCAACTGATTAAAGTAAGAAACCAAAGCAGCAGAAGCCAAGATAGCCTCACTTTTAGTTCTTTGAATGGGTCATGTGCTAAAAATTCTGGATCTCAGAATTTCTTGATGCATTAAAACAAAATATTCAACAGACATGTGGGAGCATTGATAGCTGATAGACTGATAGCTGTGAGTAGGCCTATTTACAAAATGGAAACATGCTCTCTCTGCCCCTTCCTGTAACTATTAAGTAAAGGCAATAAAAGCCTATCTATATTATGGATTGCCATTTATGAATTATATATAATATGAAATGAAAATATATGGAATAAAAGTCTGACTATATGAAATGAAGTTTGAATATATGGAATGAAATGTCACGTGATCAAGGCACTGCACCATCTGTGTTTTCGATACCAGCCTAATATTATTCCATAAGGATGTTACTGCAAGAAGTGTTGGAGTGAGCCTGCATGGAATCTGTAAGAAGCAGTCCTAACTGATGAAGAGATAATTAACACAAATGTTCAAACACAATGCATAGAAAGCAGCAAAAGGTTTAATGTAGTTAAAGCAGGAAAGTCGGTAAAACAGTCACTGATCTATGAATGAATGTGGACAATTCTTACAGTATCTGCTGTCCACAACTGCTTTATATTGTATAAAAGCTTCTCCTTCCGTTCATGAAGTCACTGCACCATCTGAAGGCATGGACGGATATGTTAAGAGGGCAGTGTCTTTACGCACGACTGTTCGCTGAGTATACCTTCATTAAATCACCTAAAAAAAACAGTAGACTGCTTCAATATAACCATACAGAGCTCTACACACATCAGACTGGTTGGATATAACTCGATATTCTGCTTTTAATGAAGGAGACGTCTGGTTACCAGGTCTTATCATAGCCTCATCCAACTTTCATTTTGGCAGGTTGCGCTGCTGAACATACAGTATATGGACCAAATTAGAAGGTGCGCATGGAGAAGCCTATACTGTCTGTGTGTTATAAGACCAACTTGCTTGACATTAAGAGTGCAAATAATTAAACTCAGGGTGTTTGTATGTTGCACGCTTGTAGAACCGGGCCTGAATAGAAAATGACTGATTACATAAAAAATAAAAAAATAATAGCAATGAAAAAAAATAATAATAAAAAGATCAAGATATCAAAAATCTGGTGGGGCATGTGTCCTTCCATATCCAGACTTTTATTCCATATATTCAGCATTCATTTAATATATCCAAGTTTCATTCAATATATTCAGACTCCCATTCCATATATTCATTTAATAATTTCCAAAAGGGCATGCCATAATATATATATATATATATAAAAGACGTTGCCTAAAAAACAAACAAGATCTAAGGTTTAACATTTCTACCATTTTAGGAAAAAAGAGCAGTCCCTTATGCCCAAAGACTAAATATAGTTTGATGATCAATTGGCTGTATCTCAGAAACCAGAATGAATTTTGTGTCAATGCATTCATAACAAGTAAAATGTCAAAGACATGCACACATATACAGTGTTTAAAAAAATCATATGAAAAACATTTAATGAAGACAATTTTTGCATTTTTCCTCATTTAAAAAAAAACTTTTTATATCCAGTTATACATTTTTTTTCAGAATCAGTCTGTGCTGGGGACACAGTAAATAGCCATGATCATCATGGACAACAAAAACAGACAGGTTCTCTGCTTTGTCTGGGATTCACAGCATCTTCAAAAGTGTAAAAGCAGAGAAAGTGAGAATTTGCACAAAAAAGTGCCGGTACAATAAAGAATGCTACAACCTGCATCTGTAAATGTGTGTTTCCTTGTCATGAATAAATTAGTAGGATACACAGAGACAAAACTCAGACACTTTTAACCATTTTTGTACAGTAAAACTGTACATCATTCTTCATTGTAATCTTCATTATGTTGTGGAAAATGTACAACTTGTTGCTAACGTTTCCTGCTTTAATTTATTTAAATCTTAGAATCTGTAAATGAAAAAGTCTCATTCAGTACTTTACAGTGACCCTGCTCTATTTAATATTTAGACTGATGAAACTGAAAACTAATCTAAAAGAAAGATAATTTCACCATTAATTAATTCGTTACAGGTCAGTTTAAAGCTTTTCTTACCAGGACAGAAACTCAATGATGCACTCCTGCATTTCACACAGATACAGCGTCTATTACTGAATAACAGTAAATAAGCCGAACAATAAGATATATTTATCCTACTATTTTTTTTAGTTCATTCACATTGAGATAATAATGCAGTTGAATATATACTGCTATCTGTGCACTAAGCTGTATATACAGATATTTTATGCACAGTACAGTGACACTTTTTATGAATATTATATATATGACATGCAATGTTCAATGATGATATTACTGACATTTCAAAACATAATGAGTCAAAAGAGCTTAGAATGAGTGAAATCCCCTTGAAATATTTTACCAGAAATGATCATTCTAAAAGCTGATCGAAACCAGCTGTAAAAGAAAGCATAGACCAATGGATTGAGCATTGAATTTGACCATCCAAGCCACTTAAAGGCTGCAATCACAGCAGCTGGTATTGTGTAATTACTCAAAGGGTTAAAAGTCGCACAAAGAGTAAAAGGAGTCCAACAGATGAGGAAAACTCCCATTACAATAGCCAGAGTTTTGGTGGCCTTTCTCTCCTTCTTAATTTCAGACTTTGTGCTCTGACAGGTTGTGTTGTGGATGCTGCGTGCCTGTCTCTGTGCCACCATCAGAATCTTTAAGTAGATAGTGACCATTACAATAGCTGGGAAATAAAACCCAAAAACAACTGCCATAACTGCTGAACTTGAATTCTGAAATAAAACACACCTGTTAGATTGTCCTTTGTTCACTCCCACAATTGTCATGCTAATTGCGTTTACAGCAGGAACAGTCCAGCTCACCAGGATCATGATCACAATTACACGGACATTTATTTTAGTTCTGTACCTCAGAGGCTGACACACTGCATAATATCTGTCAACAGCAATAGAACACAAGTTTAAAATAGAAGATGTACACAGAAAGAGATCAAAGCTGCCTCGTATCTTACAGAGTAAATCTTCAAGATACCAACAAGAGCTCAAAGCCAGTACCCCGCTAAAAGGCAAAACTGTAAGCCCAACAAGCAGGTCAGCTACAGCGAGAGAGAGGATGAGGTAGTTTGTAGGAGTGTGGAGCTGTTTGAAGTAAATGATGGAGGTTATTAAAAGAAGGTTTCCACACATTATAAGAACTGATAAAGAGCCAATAAAAATACATAACAAGTATGTGCTGGTGGTGAGTGCACTCCTACCAGATACATTTTCTGATTGATTACAGAAATGTTTGTCCTCAAAAACATCATCAGACCTGTTGACAAAGAATTCAGGTTCCATTAAATCATTTTGTTGTCTATTCTGTCTGTAGAGAGAGCCTTTCAGTTAATATTAATGCTCTGTATGTTTCATACCATACCTATCAATCCTGGTTAGTGCATCTGTACTGATGGTAGTCCTTGCTCTCTGTTCCACTGAGCAGTATATTTGGTTATTATTCTGGGCTCACTAGCCTATCGTAGTGAAGATCACTGTCAAGGGAGCCTCTTAAAGGGATATATGTTTAATTTAGTATTCCAGTGTTGTAGAGTTAAAAAGGTCACAAGCAACAGATTAAAAGTAAGAAACCAAAGCAGCAGAGGCCAAGATAGCCACACTTTTAGTTCTTTGTATGGGTCAAGTGCTAAAAATCTGGATCTTAAAAATATTGCCTGACTCAAGCCCAAGCAAAAACAACCCTGGTAACGTCAAAGATCTCCCCCAGAATTTCCTATTGCATTAAAATCAGAGTTCTAATAAAAAAATACTTAATTGATGATTTATTACAATATCTAACAGTATATATAGAAATAGAAAATAGAAATGTATATATTGATAAATATATATATAAAAAAATATTTATATAATAAGAGTAAATATAATATATGACAATAAAGATGGAAGTAATTGTGTGCTACAGTATATTAGCAACATCAGTGTAATAAATTAAAGTGAGTACTGATAATGTTAATAATAAGTACTAATAATGTTGATATGTTGACATCCTTAAAAGACTGCAGTATTAGTCAGAGTACTGCACACTAACCATGGTATTGAGTGTCTGACACTCTGAAGGAGGAGTTCAAGGCAGGAATGACTTGGTGTGGCGCTCTGTGGTGCATCTCAGTGGAATGAGTCTGTAGCAGCATAGACATAGGGCTGTCATGCGGCAGTTAATTGCGCCTGCTGACCACTAGGGCGGCAGTATATAAGTACGGCCCTCCTTCTCGCGCGCTCACTAACGCATCATTTCCGGGTCAGGTGTTTGCCTGTGCAGGTAATGCTCCATGCCACTGCTGCGGCTACTGCTTTGTTTCATCTCTTACTGTGTCCTGTTGCTTAAAGCCTGTGTGTTTTCACTGCAGAGCAGCGACCGAGTGCCCCGTGCTTTGTGCTCCGTGCTCCGTTTAGACCTTGGTTCTCTCTGGCGGTGGTAAGTTTTCTCTCTCTCTGTGTTACATCGGATGCTATCCTGTAGCTAACGCTAGTGTGGTCACAGGTAGATGTCCGCTGCCGTGTGGGTCTCTCTCTCCCTCCCTCTCCCTGTGCAGGTTTGACTTTGAATACAGGTATGCTACCTTAAATCTAACTCTCAAAAGCTTTGATTAATGTAGTTTAGCTATGCTAATTGTATGTTTATTGACAGGGAATGCTCGTCAGCTGGCCGAAATCTACAGGTGGTGATTCACGTGCCGTCACCACCAGCTGATTGGGACCGCTGCTGTTTTGTCTCTGTTTTGTCTCTGCCTTGTCGCTGCTTTGTCGGTGTTTTGTCTATGCTTTGTCTACACTGATTTATCTACATTGCTTTGTCCGCACAGCTTTGCCTCTGCCGTTAAACATAAGGTTGCTGTGTTGTTTATACCGCTTTGTCTACTATATGTCTGCTGTTGTGCCCCTACTGCTAGCTGCATAGCCGCGTCTCTGCTGCTGTATGTGACATTGTCCCCTGCTTTGCCTCTGCAGTCAATTATTCCTTGCTGCCTTGTTCTGCGGCTCTGGCTGCTTGGTGGCTTTTGGCTACAGCCGGCTTGCATGGTGAACTGCAGACACCATACTTTTAATCTGTTTATCCCTTTTTATTTTAGCTGAACGATGGTGAGGAGTTAATCCCCTAGTTTTGTATTACTTGTTTTGTTATACTTTATTGTTTTGATTAACTAGCTTGGTAAGCTTAATTGGTTAACTGTTTCCTGCTTTATGTTGTATATTGTTTTTATTATATTATTATTTATATAATACTTATAATAAAATAAAATAAATAAATAATTACTTCCATTGTAACTTTTGTTTTCCCTTCTCAGTGGCTGCAGGCTGGTGGTGGTGCTGGTGACGTGGGTGGTGGTGTCCCTCCTCCTTGTGTGCTGTGCTTCCTTGGATTTGGTGATTCCACAGTGTGTGACTGCCACGTGTGTCTGGGTGAACCCTTTTTCTTTAATTTAATTTTGTTGAGTCCCCTTCCCCTTCACCTGCTCTTTCCCCACCAGTAGGCCTCAGCCCCTGATTAGGCTCCCTTTTTCATTTATTGGGATGAATGCTATTTTTTTATAATGATATATATATATTTATTAAATAAAATATTTTTGTAAACTGGGAACCACGTGTCTTGCCTGTCGAGTGGAACAAACCTGTGTTTTTGGTCAGTGTAAAATAATTCCTTGGGTGCAATTCCCAAGGTGGCGTTGTCATGCAACCTAAGATTCCCATTGAGTGCTCCACATTTTGCAATCCCCGCCACAATCTGGCGTTGTCGGCAGGATCTACTCTTCCAACAGGCAAAGACGTGTGTTCCTTGTGGGTTTTATTTTTTTTTCTTGTGTTTTCTTTCTCTGGTGTACTAATGTTGTTTTTCTTGTAGGCATCTGGAAGAATTTAAAGAGACAAAGCAGCAGTGGTTTCCAGTGGACCTTCGTGCCAGTTTTGGTGAGATTTGGCAGATTAGGCCTAGGTAGTAGTTTGAGTTTTATTGTAGCTATGGAGGAAGAGTTACAGGAACTCAGAGATCTGATTAAACAGTTAAAGGCTGATAATGAGCGGTTACGACAGGAACAGGCTGGCTCTAGTGCCTTACCGTCCACCTCTTTTGTGCCACCTACTGCCCCTTCTACTTCCAGTGTCCCTGTAACAGAGAGGCTGGTGTTTGTGCCCCGTGATAGGAAGTGTCCTGTTTTTAGGGGAAGGACGGGTATGGGGTTGAGTGAGTGGCGGGAGGAAATACAGGCGTGTATGAGGTCCCGGCGTTTATCCCGGTCTGACCAGGCATTTCTCCTGTTTGACCACCTAGAGGGTGAAGCTAGGGAGGAGCTAAAGTATCGCCCTAGCACAGAGAGAGGACCCTGATGGAGTATTGGCTATTTTACAGGAGCTGTACGGGTGCTCGGAGTCTTATGTTGCTCTGCAGAAGGCTTTCTTCTTCAGAAGGCAGCAGGAGCGAGAGACTCTTCAGGAGTTCTCCCTCGCTTTGATGGGCCTCATGGAGAAGGTGAAGCAGCGTGCACCTACTGAAGTGCCAAATGCAGAAGCTCTTTTGAGAGACCAATTTGTTGAGCATGTGCTGGACAGTTCCCTGCGTCGTGAGTTGAAGCAGTTAGTGCGTAGACAGCCCAATTACACCCTGCTTGCTGTTAGAGCAGAGGCGATTCAGTGGGAGCTTGAAGGTCTACCCAGCGGTGTGAGGGGCCGCAGTCATTCAGTCCCCTTAGTGTTTGGTGTTCAGTATGGTGTTCAAGGTAACCCGCAGGGCGTTGTTTCTTCCCCCCCTGTGTCAGAGATGGGTGAGATGAGGGAGATGCTACAGCGTCAGCAAGAGCAGCTTAATAAGCTCACTGAAAGCATTGCTCGGCTGCAGGTCTCTCATCAGCACAGTCACCCACCTCGTACTGGCCCAATGCTATGCAGGCGCTGCAATCAGCCTGGCCATTTTGCGAGGGAATGTAGAGTGCATGCTCCTCGCTCACAATCCCATTCACCGCCCCCATCTAATCCTGGTAGGCAGTCTCGTTTTGCTTCTGGGTCGGAAAACTAGTACCCACCAAACTGCAGAGTCACAGTTTGGCTGGGGCTGCTACTGGCTCATAAGCTGCTTCACGCGATTTGGATGCGTCTGGATTGATTTCGTCGTGTCCCCATTTAGATGTGGACATGGGTGGAGTGAAGGTTCCTTGTCTGGTAGACACCTCCATGGTGTCTACTATTTCTGAGAGCTTTTTCCGCCAGCATCTCGAGCCTTGGGGCCAGGAGCGTCTCCGTTCTTGTCACTGGTTGGAGCTTAGAGCTGCCAACGGTCTGACTATTCCTTACCTTGGGTACTTGGAGCTTGACGTGCAACTTTGTGGTAAACTGATGCCCCACTGTGGTGTGTTGGTAGTGAGGGACCCACCTGGTGGGGTGCCTTCTAAAGTGCCGGGTATTTTGGGGATGAACGTGATCCGCAAGTGCTACCAGGAACTTTTTGGCCAGTATGGGGAAACGTTGTTTTCCAGGTCTGTATCTCAAAGGCCCCTGAGCCAGTTGTGCAGGCACTGCAACAGTGCCATCGTGTTAGCGATGTCGCGTCCCAGGATGTTCCCGGGAAAGTGAAGGTCAGGGGTAAGAGGGGTTGGCAGATTCCTGGTGGGGTAATGAAAATCATGGCAGCCACATGTTCTGAGCAGTACTCCGGGTCTACGGTGCTGTTCGAGCCTTTAGAGGCTGGTTTACCTGCTGGGTTGCTTGCTTCCCCTTCTTTGGTTCGTGTCATCAGGGGCACCGCCTACATACCTGTCATTAATGTTGTTTTGTACCCCCGCACTGTTGTCGGCACACTGGATTTTGTGAATGTGGTCAGCCTTCCTTCCGGGGTCACTGAGGTGCCATCGGGTGTGGCCACCGTGTCTTCTCAGACCGCTTCCCCTAGTGTGCATCAGGTGGAGAATGTGGATTTGTCACCTTTGTCTGTGGAGGAACAGGGTCCAGTGAAGTCCCTGCTTAAACAATATTCCTCAGTCTTTTCCATCGATGACACTGATCTGGGCTGTACAAATCTAATCTCCCATGACATCCCTTTGGTAGACGATACTCCAGTGAGGCAGCGCTATAGGCGCATCCCACCCTCAGAGTATGAGGTTGTGAAGGAGCACATCAATCGTCTACTCTCATCTCAAATCATTCGTGAGAGTAGCAGCCCCTATGCGTCCCCTATCGTGTTGGTACGAAAGAAAGATGGCAGCATGTGCATGTGTGTTGACTATAGGCAGCTCAATAGTAAGACCCGAAGAGATGCCTTTCCTCTGCCAC